TTTTTATTTTTATCAGTGTCATCACCTTTAAAAGATGTGGAAAAGTGATTGATGGGTAAGGGGTAGATAGTAGCATCCTTGATATGCTGTGTCAGAGATTTTTTGCTGGCAGGATCAGGAACTTGCAAGGTAGTAAAGGCAAATGACAGGGTGTCTAGCCAGTGTTTTATGGAAGAATAATTATTTATTAAGGAAGTCAAGTTCTTTGATAGGTGTTTGGCAACTTGAAGTCTTGCTCCCTTAGGTATTCGTGAAATCACAAATGTTTTTGGTGTGACTAAAAATATTTCTACATCTGTGGAGTCGGTTGGATTGAAAGTGAGAGCATTTTCGGGGTTAATGATGCTTACTACCAAGTGAATGTATGGAAATATTCTAAATACCAACCTAATTTGCTAAATACCGACCAAAATTTATTAAAATGTAATAAGATCCCTATTATTTAATATATTAATACGGAATCACGTGGTCGAGTCCGGCCTCCTATATATTATCCCCCCAAGGATGGAACCACCAAGTTAGAATAAGAAAAAAAACATGATCATTCCTGGGATTCGAACCCGGGAGCATGGGATAAGTAAACCAAGCTCTTGCCTACTAGGCCATAGAGGCTTTCCAAAAATCACGATTTTTCAAATATATATTATAAATATATTTGGTAGTGCCTATCCAAATGAAAAATGAACAAAATTCAAATTTGATAGATGGTACCTTAAGGTACCAAGCATCATTAACCCATTTTCGGCGGTTGAGGTGGGGACTATTGGGCTAGTAGGCACATCAGTCAACGTGGGAATGGTAACTATAGGTTGTGCGAGGGCAAGGGCAGAAAAGGCATTTAGGGTTCGAGGGATAGCTGGTGATAAGATGGGAAGCCCAGATTGAGGACATTTTATCTTCTGGTTTCGATGAGATGGCAATAGCCCCAATTTGGTTACTTTAACGAGTTTATTACATAAAAGGCAGTTAGATTTGGTAGAAGCTGTGCTGAGGTCTGGTAAGCTCAAGAATTAAAATTTTTTTATCAGTTTAAGAGTGAAAATGTTGGATATTATTTTTATCTTCAAATATGGGTTTCTTGTGGGTTGGTATATTAAGGAAGTTTAATGAGTTATTTTTTTGATTTTTGATAAGATTTATTCAATATTTGAGGTTTGATTATGGAAGATGATTTACTCATAGTATAATTATGTACAAGTGATCTTATAGAAATCCCACTTTCAATATCATTTTCTGGATAAATATTTGGTGAAATATTATTAACTGAATAAATGTTTGGCAATTTTTGATAAGATTTATTCAATATTTGAGGTTTGATTATGGAAGATGATTTATTCATAGTATAATTATGTGCAAGTGATCATATAGAAATCCCACTTTCAATATCATTTAATTTTTGTATTTATTTGAATTCATAAAAAACAATATTGGTTAAATTTGATTGACGTTTTTTGAGGATTATTATAATAGATATATTGGTATTGGTTTAAATACAATGATTAATAAAATTAAAAGAATAAAAATAATGATTTAAAAAAAAGCCTTTTCGAGAACTGTTAAATTTGAAATTTTTTAAATTATTCTACTTTAGTCATTTTTTTATATATCTCAGCATTCAAAAAGAAAATATATATAGTTTGCCACTCTCGGGGGGGGGGGGGGTATATTATTTTTTATGTTATTTTTTTTTTATTATTTGTTATATATTTATATGATTACTAAATAAACATGTATAATATTTATAAAAATAATTTATAAATGTTTTAAATGAATATAGAAAAAATCGCAAGGTCGGGTAAGCCTATAGTCGAAAGGCCTGGTAATACGAAAGGCTAAAAAATAATATTGAAAATAAAAATAACAAAGAAAATGATTAATGAGATATTTGATTGATTTATTGCTTTTTTTATAGAAAAAAAATTATAATAACATTACATTATAATATATTAAAAATATGAAAATTTTAAGATCTTTTCAATTTTTTTAATAATTCTTTGAAATAATTTATGGTTTTTAAAAATTAATTTTATTGTATTAATTTAAAAATTAATATTTTTAATTAAATTAATATTTGGTTATGATTTTATATATTAAGTAAGTATAAATATATTGTAATTACTTGATAAAAGAAGTAAATGAGAAATATAAATTTTTTAAGGTATTTTTAATTTGAGAAAGCATTTAAGAGGGGAAAGGCTAACATCTTAAACGTAATTTTAAATATAATTATATCATTGAACTCAGAATTTAATTCTCTATCCAAAAGCGCCTAGATGTATTTTTTTACGTTTTCGGTTCAAAAAATAATTTATTTATCACGAAAACATCATAGAGGGGAAATGCTAACATCTTAAACGTAATTTTGAATATTATTATATCATTGAACTCAGAATTTAGTTTCCTATCCAAAACCGCTTAGATGCATTTTATAAGTTTCCGGTTCAAAAAATAATTTTTTTGTCGAGTATGCATTTTATAGGGGAAAGGCTAACATCTTAAACGTAATTTTAAATATAATTATATCATTGAACTCAGAATTTAATTTCCTATCCAAAACCGCTTAGATGTATTTTTTTACGTTTCACTTATAGGAGCACACATTATTTAAAAATATCTATAAGTTCTTGTTCTTTTTTAAAAGTTTGTTCAAAAACACCCAAATTCTAGAAGACATAGAGATTTGCAAGAAAATCGGTTCTAAAAAACTAAACGATCTTAAAAATTTTAATCTCTAAGAAATTATAAATCCTCAAAATTTTACCATCGATAATCTATCTTTGGTTACAGAATTGTTTTGTTTGTTTCTTAATGCTTTTATCGGAAATCAGCAAATTACCTTTTTTTTACCCTACAATTAATGAACTATGACGTTTTATAACTAATAGATGAAAAAATTGGGAAACCAAATATAGATTTGCGTACTTTTATAAATAAAGAGAGAATCAAGCGAATTGCATCAAAAGCTAAAATAATTTGCAACGCCATTTTTAGGAAAAATTAAATTCCCAATATTTTGGAACCTGGAAACCGTACAATGGCCAATTAGTTTAAAGACCTGAGACGGTTTGACAATTCTTCATAAATTTTATTGTAGGCGGCTATATATTTTTATAAAAATAATTTTTGGTTTTCACCTTTTTTCTAAAAATTTTGAATACTCGTCGTTATTTTTCATTCAAATTCTTCTTTAGTGATATATTATATACATATATGGGAAATAGGGGGATGAAGAGGGAAAATTGTTATTGGCGAAATTATATTTACGAAAACAAACAAATTTTTGAAGGGGATGGGGGTTTACTTTATGTCAAAGACAACCATTAATAAGGTAATTAATAAGAATTTAATATAAAAGAGACAGCAGAAGATTTCATTTGCAAATATATAGTACACAAGATATCAGCTGATCTTGATGAATCAAATAATGGAATGGATGCTCTATCCTAACTAGCTAAAGCAGCAAAGGCTCGTAAAATAGGCAAAAAAAAGGTGGACATGCGAGATCCCGACCACTATATGTGCGCTACAATATATAATTCAAAATATATTAGTTGAGGCGAAAATCATGTGACTAACTATTTTTTTTTTTGGAAATTATTAGGATCGGTAGTTGAGAGAAAAAAGTGGCAGTGTATGAAAAAATTGACAAAAGTAGTATCATGCCAGAAAGAAAAATATAGAAGCTCACTAAACAATTATTTTATATAAAGTGTTTACTGAAGTAAAAACAAATTTAGCTAACTGGATTTTTAAAACGCTCTGCCAAAAATTGCGCTTAATTTCAGTTTATCTTCAATTTTTTCACCTTAGCCACTGGATATCAATTGAGATATGTTGGTCCCACTATATATTAATACACAGTGATTGATTTTAATTTTTTTATAAAACAATTAGGAATTTGGGGCTGGGGTTAAGGATCAATTCCTAAAAATTTTAATAAAATTATGTCAAAGCAATCAGATTTATTTTTTAAATAAAAAATAATAGAGGACTTACAAGATTATAAACGCGCCAAAATTTCAGACCTAGTCCTTTTCAAGCAAAGAAAAATGAATTCAGAAATAATTACTTGAATTTAAAAAAAAAATATCGCAGCAAGTGTTATCATCCTACCCCCCCCCCCCCCCCCACTTCCTTATATATGGCTCATATCTCACATTCGATGATTTAACAAACCAAAACACGACCTGAATCTCCAGACTGCTCTGACAATCTATGACCTTCACTCTTCCAAACATATCTCGCCCGGCCCCCAAGTGCTCACCTCTGGTTGCAGGTTCTATTGAATTTCTCTTATCGAACCCAAAATCACAGAAACTAACTAATTTCCACTTCATTAACAATAAAAACGGATATGAATGATAATATCACTCCAAGCCAAAACCTAGCATTCCTAGCCACTACAAAACTTCGTATTTCAAATAACTTTGTTTAAACTGTAACATAGTTTTCCCACATATCTGCAGCTTCCAGATAGATAATAAGATGGTCGAAAATTTGAAAAACATGAAATCTCACTCAAAATTAATATCTGTATTTTTAAGAATCGAATTCTGAATAAATGATTAGAATACATTAAGCTAGTTTTGAAATCACATTCAAATTGATTTTTTTTTTGTAAAAAATTTGTAAACAGGGTTTGGATTCGGGTTTTGAAAAAATTCCCTAAAATTCGAGCTCGCTACTCGAGTTCACAAACTCGATTAGTTCTTTCTATTTAACTCTTAAAATATATTTTAAACAAGCCTTTTTCAATTAGTTATTTGTGAATTAAGATTTTAATAAATATTTATAAAAAAATTAGAATAACAACACCAACAATAATATAATATTTATATAAATAAATATAGATCAAAACTTTTTTTAAAATTAAATTATTAATTATATTATAATAACATGTCCATTTTGGAATAACATATATTTTTATAATATATAAATTGGAAATATAATTCATTATTCACAAATTTAATTTAAAAAAACCAACAATTAGTAAATAAAAATTATCTAAGATGCATTTTTATTTAGTCTTTGTCCTGGGTTAATTCACAATTTTCCCAAATCATAAAAAATGAAGACCCGGGTAAGTGATACTATAATTGCGTAATCGTTCGTGTAAATTTTTTTAGTTAAGGAGAAAGGGAGGGGTAGGGAAATTATTTTACTAAAATTTAAGTCATCGATATAATATAATTATTAAAAATCATTCTTTCCGCCCACCAGTCCAAAATCCAGGACGAGAAGCTTAGTTTCCTCTGTTCCATTTCTGCTACCCACGGCACAGACCAGCTTGGTAGGCCCGGCCTTGATGCGCCAAACAACCCCTCCAGAACCACCAGAGTCGAGCTTTACCAAGTCTCTTATATATTCGCCAGTGCGAGCATCCCAAAGCTTGACGGTGCCATCGTCAGAGGAAGTTAGGACAGTTTTTCCCCGATCGAATTGGAGACTAGTAACGGCGCTTTGGTGTTTATGAGGCCCTAAGTCATCAAATTAAATAACATATATAAAAAGAGTGGAAAAGACGTAGAACACCTCTAGCTTTAAGGGTTCATTATGTGAGGCCCGGGTATAAGGAGACATATTATGGCGATCTGGGCTTTTAATGAGCTATTCCTATTTCTGGTACAAAATAAATATGTTAAAAATTTTCACGAGAAAGAAAAGATTAAAGATGGTGTACTAAGATTCGATTGACAGAGATGTCATAGCCTTGTTTTCATAAGATTGTTTCGATTAATTACCAAAAAAAATTATTGTAAAATGTCGGCAGCGGTTTCTTATTTTTTCATCGGCAGTTGTAGGCACGCCGAGTCAGCAACCGCCAAATAAATTGACGGCGAACCTGGCGGGGTAGCACATTTTAAAATTTAATAATAAAAATTTATAATTCAGTGTATTATTGATCTGCAAAAGTAAGCCCAACGTACCCAGGTGCTCTTTTTAAAAAAATCGGGATCGGGCTGGGTCGGCCTTATATTTTAAAAAAAATTTGGGCCCGGTCGGGTCTTGAAACCTTTGTTAAATATATCTAAATTTATCAATTTTATGTTGAATTTTTTATGTAAAATAAAAATATTTGATCTTATTTATAGAAACTAGACGCCATATAACATGCATATATCTTTTATTTTGAGAATTATAAAAATAAATTTTTATATTTAAATAAATTCAGGCCGGGCCGACAAATTTTTTTGAAAAATATTTCAAGTTCAGGCCGAGCCGGTAAAACTTTTTAAAAAAATTTAGGGTTGGAGTCGGGATAGTAAAAATTAAAAAAAAAAATTTGGAGCCGGGCCGGGCTTGAAAAATTAGGTCCGATGCAGATCACTATTATAGATTATTTTATACAATTTTTGGGCACTCCCAATTCCATCATTTGCAATATAGAGTTTTTTAATATTTCCCATGTCCCAACCTGATATAAATTTATTAATTTCTCGTTCTCTGAAAATGATTTATGATATAAAATATCAATGAAATAATTGCCTTTAGATATCAATAACATTTCCCGATACCCAAAATCGATGCTACACTTTCTAAATTTTTATGTTCTTTTTATAAATTCATACCATAATGTTGACTAAAAAATTTTTTCAAATTTAAAAGACCAATTATCATTTTGGTGTATCGGCCACTGGTATTGGTTAAAATTTAAAGGATCTATCTGTACCGATATTGACAAATACCAATGATTATATCCAGTGACGAAGCGTCAAGTTTACTAATAAGCAATCGAAAATTTTTATTTATTTTTAATAATTAGTCAAACCATAAAAAAAAATTAAAATATATGAATAAATAGAATTCGTCCTTATTTTTGATCAAAATGATCAACTGAATTAAAAAGTTATTGATAGATTTTAAATTTTTTAATAAGTTTTTTTCAATCGAAATCAAAAATAAATTTAAATTTTTTTTACATTAAACTTATAATTTATTTATCAAAAGTTAGCTGATAAAATTATTATAATTTATATTAAAGGGGAAACTAACCTGTATTTCGGCAAAAATTAAAAACATGCAAAAGTTAGTTGAATATCTATAAAATTATTTTACAAAATTCGAAATAAATTTATTTTTTTTTATATATAAATTTTAAGGTAATAGGAAAAAAAACCATGGATTTTTTTTTTCATATTTATAGAATTTGTCACAAGAAGCAATTCTCAATTCCAAACACGTCAAATTGAGCCTTGATTTCCTCCAGAAACTTGAAAAGTGAATCAGAGCACTCTATCCGATGAAGAACGCACAAATAATCAATGCGAAGGTTGGAATCATCGTTTAATGGAATGCGAGAATAAATAATATAATTACTTTTTTTTCTCTTTTTTTTGCAACTGGCACCATATAATTAAAAGGCCAAATAAGGGATTTAAAAAGAGAATTTAAAAAAAAGTAAATAGTATTTGAAACACTTGCAACTTTTATTCATGCTTTTAGCACTTTAAATGAAAAATTAATATATTTCATGTACATGAATTAATTTGAGGAGTATATGTGGTTAATATAAAAATAAATTTTTTAAAAAAACAATATTTAAGGGGATTCGGAATCTTTTTTTTAAAAAGCAATTAAATTATATTTTGCCGCCTGGCTGGCACCAGAAAATTTTATTTTTTAGAGATATTTAATATTTGTATTACTTTTATGCTTTAATGGTTTTAATAAAATATTATTTTTAAATTAATAATTTAGAAAAATTAGAGGAAGAGAAACGAAAATATTTATAACATCATCATTAGAGGTGCGGGCCTAATTTTTTATTCACGGCCTGCTCGCTCACGGTGGCAATAAAAATATTCACGCTTACCACTTAAAAATTTTTAACCCGACCCGCCCGCTCACGAAAGGCAATATTTTGATTCATGCCCGAAAATTTACAACCCCCTCTTAAATTTTAATAGCGATCATTTAAACCCCTCTCCCCCTGGGTTAGTAGGCTTATTTCTAGATCCTAATTTCAAAAGCCTTAAGTTTTTAATAGACGAAGAAAAGGAAGATATTTACAAAACAATCTTAAAAATGTGAAATGATATAAAATTAGATGATATGCATAAGTCAATGCCAACTATACCTGAAACGAATTATTTGTTATTCAATATTCGACTCGATTCGTATTTTACGAATAACACAATTATTCGATTCTATATTATTCGTCGAATAATTTTTTATCTATTATTAGATCGAATTATTCGATTAAAATAATAATATTGAAAAATAATTATATATTATTAGTAGGAATTATTTGCAATTATTGCTATTTAATAAAATTTTTTAGTGGAATAATGAAGAAACATTTTATATTTCTAAAATTGTTGTTAACAGCTGTTTTTATTCGAATAACTTCATAATATAAAATTAACTTCCGAAAGTTTATGATAGACGAAGAAAGTATTTATTTTTATATGCAATTTATAATACGTATACAATTATAATAAACTAGTAGCCATGCCGTCAAGAATGACGGGCGAACCAGATATTTCTCCTTCGTTTGATGATGGAGCATAAATTTTACTTTTTGCAAAAACTTTTTGTTTAAAAAATTTGTTGTTGGTATATTTGTCTTCTACATGATATGAATATTATATTGATTTTACTACATTATATATAAAAATACTATATATAATATATATGCTTCTATATTATCTTACTAATAAAATTTGTTTGTCTTTTATTTATAGTTAAATTTTACAAAATAAATTTAATATTCTATCTTTTTAATTTATGGTTAAATAAAATTTTCAAATTGAATCGAATAATCATGTTATTATTCGCACGAATACGAATAATGAATTATTTGATTTAAACGAATACGAATAATTCCATTATTCGATTCGGAATTTCAAATCGAAATCGAATAAGAATAATGCAATTACTCGATTTGATTCATATTTATGTAGGTATAATGCCAACTGTCATTTATAACTTTCCTAATTCATCCTACATTCATAAAAAACCATATATTCTAAATGAAACATATTTTTAGAAGATTCTGATGAATCAACACCGATGAAAGCTGTGTTAATTTAAAAGATTCATCCCATAAAACAAAGACCCGACGGCTTAACCTGCACCCCCTGGCCCAATGGGAAATCCCTTATTTGGGCTGCGTATCATTTTTTCCTTCATCACTTAATACAAACCCTCTTACTTGTGGGGAAAATAAAAATTAATAAATATTCAAAATTAAATAACTTTATATTTCAGCTAATAGTCATTTCAACTAACGGCAATTTTTCACAGTCTACATATATTTTTTTAAAAACTTTATCACGAAAATTTTTTAGCATAACAAACGAAAATCGCGAATCCTTATTTCTTGAACAAAAGCTCAATTGGAAATTTTTAAACACAATTATACTTGTTTTTAGGTACATTTTCATAATTAAACTAAGCTCTTTTTAGAGCCTTCGATTAGGGATCTGCAAAGTTAGGCCCGGCCCGTACCCGGCCCGAACAGGCTATGGGCCGGACTCGGGTCTAATTCTATTTAAAATAATCGTGTTCGGGCCGGGCCTAATATTTTTTAAAAAAATTCGGGCCGGGTCGGGTTTTTATATCATAAATTTATCAATTTTATATTGAATTTTTTATGTAAAATAAAAATATTGATTTTATTTATTGAAACTAAACGACATATAACATATGTCTTTTATTTTGAGTAATTACAAAAATTAATTTCTATATTTAAAAAAATTTCGGGCCGGGCAGGCCCGATGCAGATCACTACCTTCGATACTATTAATATATATTATTTTGTAATTTTATATAGTTGTTTTATCATTTTTTAAAAATTTTACCAATATCAATATTATCAAAATTAAATTTTAAAAAATAAAACAAATAACAATGGAGATATTTTGAAGTTTTGGAAGCAGGAAAATTTATTTCCTTTTTTGAGAAAATTAGAGAGTAAAATTTTGTCAGCCCTGGCAAATTCGGCTTCTAGTGAAAGGTTATTTTCTGTAGCCAATCGTCTATTAGAGGAAAGGCATACACAATTGAAATAAAAAAAATAGACATACTTTTTCTAAGTAAAAATTTGGATATATAATATGTATTTATTTTTTGTTATTATGAATTATGGAATTAAAGAAATAAATTCAAAAAAGTGTAAAAAATTATAGCAATAAAGTTTTGAAAAATTTAAAAACACCGTGAATTTTCGGGCATGAATCAAAATATTGCCTTTCGTAAGAGGGCGGGTCGAAAATTTTTTAGTGATAAGCGTTAGGGATGTAAATTTCCCGGGAAACTATATTTCGGGGAAATTTGGGGAAAAAACGGAAAACTATCTTTTTTTGTAATACTTTGCAGGTTAGTATTGATTTTTTTTCAAGTTTTATTGAAAATATATAAATTATAAACATTATAATTAAACAAATATGATTTAATTTCTATTAATTTGTGATTTCTTTACATGTTTCATTTGAAATACATAGATTATAAACAATATTTAAACAAATATGATTTA